GCAGGGGCTCTGCTTGTTTATGATGTATCCAAGTATATATATAAATATATATATATATATATATATGTTATATTATTAATATACTATCGAGGAGCAGCAGGGGCTTTGCTTGTTTATGATGTATCCAAGTATATATATAAATATATATATAATATAATATATATATATATGTGTGTGTGTGTTATATTATTAATACACTATCGAGGAGCAGCAGGGGCTCTGCTTGTTTATGATGTATCCAAGTATATATATAAATATATATATAATATAATATATATATATATATATGTTATTAATATACTATCGAGGAGCAGCAGGGGCTCTGCTTGTTTATGATGTATCCAAGTATATATATATAAATATATATATATATATATATATGTTATATTATTAATATACTATCGAGGAGCAGCAGGGGCTTTGCTTGTTTATGATGTATCCAAGTATATATAAATATATATATAATATAATAAGTATATATATATATATATGCATGTATTATATATTTAATATACTATGGTTGGCTTTGCTCTGTTCTACTAAACAAATGCATTAAATTGTATAATAATAGCTCTTTAAAACTGCTACTACTACTGCTGTTGCTGCTGCTACTGCTGCTGCTGCTGCTGTTGCTGCTGCTGCTGCTGCTGTTGCTGCTGGTGCTGCAGTCGTGAGTCTTACAACCATTTGATTAATTGGTTGGCTGACGCCCGTTCGTTGGCTCGCGCAGATATTTCTATCGCCATTGTCGGTGAGGCTTTGTTTATTACTTTGTTTGTTTTATTAATTTGTTTATTACTTTGTTTGTTTTATTAATTTGTTTGTTTATTACTTTGTTTGTTTTATTGCTTTGTTTATTACTTTGTTTGTTTTATTGCTTTGTTTGTTTTATTGCTTTGTTTGTTTTATTTATTTGTTTTATTACTTTGTTTGTTTTATTAGTTTGTTTGTTTTATTACTTTGTTTGTTTTATTACTTTGTTTGTTTTATTACTTTGTTCTATTAGTTTGTTTGTTTTGTTAGTTTGTTTATTTTATTACTCTAGTTTGTTTGTTTTATTATTTCCTTTGTTCTGTTACTTTACTTTGTTTGTTTTATTAATTTGTCTGTTTTATTAATTTGTTTGTTTTATTCGTTTGTTTGTATTACTAATTTGTTTTATTGCTTTGTTTATTTATTCGTTTGTTTTGTTTGTTTGTTTGTTTTTTCCGTTTGTTTGTTTATTTGTTTATTTGTTTATTTGTTTGTTTATTTGTTTTGTTTGTTTGTTTGTTTGTTCATTTGTTTGTTTGTTCATTTGTTTGTTTATTTGTTTGTTTGTTTGTTTGTTTGCTTATTTGTTTGTTTGTTTATTTGTTTGTTTGTTTGTTTGTTTGTTTGTTTGTTTGTTTATCTTCTTCTGGTGTCTGTTGTCTCTTAGCTTTTTATGTTTTGTTTGTTTGTCTCTGCTGCTGCTGCTGCTGCAGCAGCAGCAGCATCTGTCTCTTTATCTTTTTTATTTTTTCTCGCAGCAAATGAACTCTGTTTTGCTGCTGGTTTTATTTTTCTTTTTTATGGTGTATCTGCATCTGTTTTATTATTATTATTATTATTATTATTATTATTATTATTATTATTATTATTATTATTATTTTATTATTATTATTATTATATCCCTAAGACATGTTGTTGAGGTGTGTGTCGTGCTGCTGCTATTGCTGCTGCTTCTGCTGCTCTTGCTGCTACTGTTGCCTCCACTTCTGCTGCTTCTGCTGCCCTTGCTGCTGCTTCTGCTGCTGCTGCTGTTGCTTCGACTTCTGCTGCTGCTACTGCTGCTGCTACATCTGCTACTGCTGCTGCTGCTGCTGCTGCTGCTGCTGCAGGTAATAAGATTGACGTGAGGGAGAAGCGAGCGGTTACATTTTTAGAGGCTTCGCGTTTTGCACAGGAGAATGGTACTCTAATTAATTTATTATTTATTTATTTATTTATTTATTTGTTTGTTTGTTTGTTTGTTTTGTATATTTATTTGTTCGTTTGTTTAATTGATTAATTATCTATATATTTATTTGTTCGTTTGTTTAATTGATTAATTATCTATATATTTATATATATTTATTTGTTTGTTTGTTTAAATAATTATTTATGTATTTGGTTAATTAGTTAATTTAGTTATTACAAATATATATATATATATATGTTAATATTTATTTGTCTGTTTATTTATTTGTTGTATTTATTTATTTATTTATTCGCTTAATTGTTATTTTGTTTGTTCTTTTGCTCTTCTCTCCTCCTTTAGGTTGTTTGTTTATTTATTTATTTGTTTATTTGTCTATTTGTTTTGTTGTTTTATTTTTTAAAGAGCATGCATTACTATTAATAGCTGCTGTTGCTCTATTTGCTGCTGCTGCTGCCTTTGCTGCTACTGCTGCATTTGCTGCTGCTTCTGCATTTGCTGCTTTTCCATTTGCTGCTGCTACATTTGCTGCTCCATGTGCTGCTGCTGCATTTGCTGCTGCTGCATTTGCTGCTGCTGCAGATGTTCTGTTTTTGGAGACAAGTGCGCTGACGGGGGAGGGCGTGACGGATGTCTTCGTTCGTGTGGCGAGGCTTATACTCAGCAAGATTCAAGATGGTGCTGCTGCTGTTGCTGCTGCTGCTGCTGCTGTTACTGCTATTATTACACAACCATATCACAGCTATCAGCGGCAGCAGCAGCAGGAAGAGTTGGCAGCGCAGCAGCGGGCAGCTTGCTACCAACATACTACGCAGCAACTGCAGCAACAACAACACCAGCAGCAGCAACAGCAGCAGCAGCAGGGTGTGGGGTGTGGGGTGTATATGCAGGTCTCATTGATGGAAATGCAATGGCAGCAGGACAGCGAGGGGCCGGCACCCAACTGACTGAAGGTTTGTATTTATTTTGTCTGTTTGTTTATTTTATTTGTTTGTTTGTTTGCTTGCTTGCTTGCTGATTTGTTTGTTTGTTTATTTGTTTATTTGTTTATTGTTTGTTTTTTTGTTTTGTTTGTTTGTTTGTTTTATTTTAATGTTGCTGCAGATGATCCTAAGACAAACTCCTCTTCTTGCTCCTGTTGAAGGTTCTCCTTCCAATGCTGCTGCTGCTGCTGCGGCTTCAGCAGCAGCAGCAGCAGCAGCATTGCTGACACCAGCAGGAGCTGTAGGAACGTGAGCTGCTGCAGCACCAGCAGCAGCAGCAGCAACAACACTACCAGCCGCACCACCACCAGCGGCTCCAACTGCAGCAGAAGCCCAAACAGCAGCAGTAGCAGAAGCAGCAGCAGCAGAAGCAGCAATAGCAGCAGCAGCAGCAGAAGCCTCTGTTAGTTGTCTACATGTTGAGGTGTATGTACACTGAAGCTTCTTCTGCAGCCTTCATCGGGGCCCTCAGAGGCCGCTAAGTATTGGCTCCAGTTTACTTATCTTGTCTTTTATAAAGTTATACAAACTAAAAGTATATTTAAATAATATATATTTTATATATTATTTATATATATTATATATATATATGAATATATATATAGTTTGTTCATCTTGTCCTTTATAAAGTCATACAAACTAAAAATATATATTTACCGGCAACCCACCATCACAAAAACCCCAGCAGCACAGCAGCAGCAGCAACAACAGCAGTAGCGGCAGTAGCAGCAACAACAGCACTAGCAGCAGCAGCAGCAACAACAGCAGTAGCAGCAGCAGCACCAGTAGCAACGGCACCAGCACCAGCAGCAATGGCAGCAGCAGCACCAGCAGCAGCAGCAACAGCAGCAGCAGCAGCTGACTTCGGCGCTGATAGCTCAGTTGGGAGAGCGTTAGACTGAAGATCTAAAGGTCCCTGGTTCGATCCCGGGTCAGCGCGTATTAATGTA